AGCTCTGAGTGGGCCTTGTACTGGCGCTGCTGGCCTCCGTGTTGCCGAGCTCGATGGGCCCGGAGTGCTGATAGTCCGCTGCTGCCAGTGCGCCGAATCGGTTTTCCGCGAGTGGGAACTCCGGTTTGGAGCCCCGAGGTGCCGATCTCGCGGGCGAGGTTCCCGACCTGCCTGCGAGCTGCAAGGCGGGGATGACTTTTCTCTCTCTCCGGCCTGGGGATGAGGCCTGACTGTTTGGGGGGATCTGGGGCCTAGAGGCCTTTCCTTGGTGGAGCGTCCATCCTGCGGAGAGGCCAACCTGAGCTCGGCCCCAGGGTGGCGAGGTGGAAGTAATGGTTGGTTCGGTGGCAGTTGGGGGAATTGCTGTTGATAGTGATACTGGGAGAGATTGTGCAACACTTGGTGCTGGTGAAGCTGGTGTTGCTGGAATTGTTGCATCTRGGCTTGCATTGCCCRCATGCAYTGCATYAGGTCGTCCAACCGATTTTGGCTAGCTGCCAGGGGGACGGCGGTTGGTTCAGTGAAGGTAGTCTCAATGGGGAGAGGGAAGGGGATGTTTGTGGTAGGTAGGTTTATAGGCGCCATTGCTTGTGGCGTAGTCAGATTGGGAATTCCGTCCACCGAGAGGGGGATGGTGAACTGCCCAACACACACCACGGGAACTTGAGGCTGTTCCCCGGTGGTGTTTGTCTCTGTGCCGCGTCCGGCGTGGCTGGAGGAGGCCATGAGTATTTCAAGGAAGAAGAAAGGGGTATGAAAGTTTTGGAGGGAGGCCTTTTGAAGCGTTCCCACAGACGGCGCCAATTAATGATGCACAATCTGGCCGATCTTAGCTGTCAACGATCTTGCCTCTGAACTGAGTAACAGGGACCTGAAACGGAAGGAGAAGAGAAGCTCCGGGGAGAACCCGGCGTAAGGGCTCCGAAGCTCAAGTTAGAATCCTTCAAAGGCAAGATAAACCAGATAGCGCAAAGTTTGCATACCTCGTTTCTGGGGGGTAGGAGCCTTTTATAACCACCTCGTGTACTCACTTCCAGGCCTCTGTCAGATCGGGCATGATTACTTCTGAACTCCTGCCAGTTCGAATGTCATTTCCTCTGGCCGATCAGAACCGCCACTGTTCCTTTGTCGGAGCCGTCTCTGCGGCTAGTAACGACGGTGGCAGGTGGCGGTAGCAGGAGGCCGTTTGAAATGCGGCTGTCAGACGTCAGATCCCAAATTAGTCAGGTGCGTCTTTCCTTGGATACGGACGTTCTTGGCGTCAGGTACGTTTGATCAGCCTGGTGTTTCGGAGGCTAAGTGCTGGAGTGAGCGAGATGTCTTCAGTTCGGTTTGGGGAGTGTTCCGAGCCGCCATGGGCCAGCTCGGGTCACAGTTTTGCGAGGCTTGAGGCCCAATATAGTTTGTGCTCCTTGCAGGGAGCTCGGGTTCTCAGTAAGGAGCTCGGATTCTCAGTAGGGAGCTCGGGCTCTTAGTAGGGAGCTCGGGCTCTTGGTAGAGAGCTCGGGCTCTTGGTGGGGAGCTCGGGCTCTTAATAGGGAGCTCAGACTCCCAGTAGGGAGCTCGGGCTCAGTAATAAGCTTGGACTTTGCTTTCGGTGTTTGCTTCAGGCGCTTTACTGTCCGGAATTGCTTGTTTCTGCCACATGTCGGATAATTGCGAAGTCGGGCCAAATTCCCCTTCATCAGGACGGATTTCTATTTCTTGTGGAGCGAGACTTAAGTCCCTTCCTCTACTCATCTTCCTTCCCCGCGGGCCTTGCAATAGTATTAGCAGGCAAGGGAGAACCAAAGAAAGAAATGAGAGAGGCATTTAAATTCGCCACTGCAACTTACTGTGGCAGTGACTGACCAGAGAGAAATGAGAGAACATAAAGGAGTTTAACTCTCCATGCAAAGGTGCATAACAATCATTTCTGCTCTCGGCTCTCGGCATTTAACTCTCTCAAATCTCAGCGTTTAACTCTCTCAACAGATCCGGCGTTCCATCATTCAACCATCACTGTTGGGGCGAGGGTTGAGGGGAAGATTTGCACTGGGTTTCACGCTTGCTGTCTTTTGGGGTTGAGGGAAAGATTTTGACTGGAGTCACCATGGACTGTTCATAGGTCGAGTTAGATCGGTTTAATAGATTTTTTTTTTTTTTTTTTTTCACGCTTGCTGTCTTTTGGGGTTGAGGGAAAGATTTTGGCTGGAGCCACCATGGTTGGGGTATACAGTAGGATTGTTTCGAGTTGGATCGGTTTAATAGGTTTTTTGGAATCGGTGAACAGTGATGAAAATGTAAATTTTAAAAGGTAACGGACATTTTAGATTTTTCGTCCATGTCGTTACACTAGTAACACTTAGACAATTGTCCAAGGTAGCGTCAGACAGTCAGTTAGTCCACTTAGTGAATTAGCTATTTAAAACTTCGAACCTAACAATCCCATGTAAAACTGTGAAACTTCGAACTGTCAAAAAAGAAACAAAAAAATCAAAATCTCGGGTGAATGAAAATGATAATTGGTTGGTCATAAATTCAGGTGCCACACATATTTTCGGTATGATAGCATGATAAACACTTAAAGCATCTGTATCAGATCAAGACAAAAGCAAGGTTCATGGAAAGGTAAAGAGAACCTGCTCGGTCCTAAGATCCGATATTGTTGTAGCTGGTTTTTTAAATTCTATCCGATCATTGCGTGCATACAATTTTTTATACACACATCCGGTTACCGCCAAACCAGCAAGAGGGACTGAAACAGAGGATCAGAGTAGTTTCTCCAAACAAATTGCTTTAGCAGAAGTAACCTGATCAGATGATTGCAAATCATCAGGTCCATTTATATTAAAATTACATGAAACGCCATGCAAGTCTACAGCCTAAACACGTCTCACGAGGAACATGAAGAAGAAGAGGAAGAAGGAAGAAATGTATCGGATCTGGGACAAAAGCGAGGTTCATGGGAGAGGAGAACCTGCTCCATAGGATGATCGAAGATTTGATATAGCTGGCGTCTGAAAGCAGCCGATCATTGTGCGAAGCTGTTATCAGCAAACACACTCCGTAATCTCGACACTGCTCAAGCTAACCAGCATCTGTTCCTTCTAGATATCAAAACAACAGACGCGATGGATACGGATACAAAAACGAAAACAATGGCGAAAAGTTTGCTAGTAACGGCGACTTGGCTATCGGATGTCGGATCTAACAGATTGAGAGAAAGAGAGCAGCGGGAGACGGGAAACACAAGGGAGCCGAGATACGGAGTGAATATTTACAGAGCAAGAGAAGAAGGATTTAGAAGCAACTTGAAGATTTGGAATGATAAGTAGCCACGTGTTTTCGACAGCTGGAGCTCTTTAATTTGGCTTGTATTCCAGCTGGCAGTAGCAATAAACCACATGTAGCATGTAGGAGTAGGAGTAGGACTGCTAACTGCTAAAGTGCTAAGCGGCAAAGCCCTCTTCCTCTTGGGATTTGAAGTTTTGAACATCGGTGAGACAGTCCTCAATTATGGGCTTGATGTGGGTTTCGGATGGGCTTGGACCCAGCTTGCTACAAAACTGAATCAAGAACTGTATTTCCTGTTAGAGAAGAACTAAAATAAGATGATAGCTTCCGGTACAAGGCAAATATTTCCAGACCCCTCCTTTTCTTCCTTCCTCTGGTTAGGGTTTCGTCTCAGGCTCTCACTATCTCAGCTTTCGTTTTTGCTTTGCACATCTGCAGGTTTATGTGACTTGTGATTATTTCTGTGTTGCAGTGGTTCGTGAAGAGCGATAACCAGTGAATGATGGAAGGGAATACAAAGACAGACTGATAAGCAATTTACCCCACCACATAGTCCTCCATATCCTCTCCTTCCTCGACATGAAGCATGTTGTTCGGACCAGCATTTTGTCCAGAAGATGGAGACACCTTTGGAAATCTCTTCAGTACCTAAACTTTGACCACAACCTATTCTCTTCGATTTCGATCAGACAGCAAAGTAGGAAAAGAGAGCAATCCTTTACGAATTTTGTGTCCAGGGCACTCTTCCTTCGTAACCACAGAACTGACATAGTGAAGTTCAATATCTCCTGTGATGAACATTGTTGTGTTGACAGCCTCACTGCATGGATCCTTGTTGCGATAAGCCATAATATTGAAGAAGTTCAACTTCAAGCTTTTCGTGATATAGATATTCGATTACCCCGTGAGATATACATCTGCAATTCCTTGCAGACGCTGAAGTTGAAGTCTAATTCATTCGGACTTTCTACTCTTACTTTACCCGGTTCAGTGAGTTTACCTCTTCTCAAATACCTATCTTTTGAATCAATTAGTTTCATAAATGAGAAGTCGATAAGCAACTTCCTCTCGGGGTGTCCCGTCCTGGAAAAATTATTCTTTCACTACTGCAATTTCCGTCCTTTGAAGTATCTCCTCGTTAGTTCTCTTTTACTAAAGGAGTTGGTTATAGAAAGTGATGACGATTATGACAGCGAGTGCCACTTCACGATAGATACACCCAACCTAAAGTATTTCAGGTGCGGAAGATCCATAAGAAATGAGTATATTCTACTGGACATGCCTTCTCTGGACAAGGGTAACATTGGAAGGAGAATTATAGATGAGATGGATTTTATATATAATCGCATGGAATCGGACATGGCGATGGCCATGTCGATACTTGGGTCGTTCAGAGAAGAATATGCTCAACGCATGATGAAGATTCTCAGAAGTCTTGGCAAAGCAAAAGATCTATCCTTATCACCATGGGCGGTTGAGGTAATATTTCCTTTTCCTTTTATTTTAATTGAAGTAAAATAACATAGCATGGACTTACTAATCATCATTCCTTGTACTAAAATTCTTTTTTGCTAGGCCATCATTCGTTCCCTTGATTCACCGATGATATCATTAAGTTACGGGTGCAACTTAGGCCCGCTTAGCTCTAACCCAATCTAAGCCCCACCCAAATTGCATTTGCCTGTGCGGGGTGCTTGTAATTTTTTTTCCTCTTGTCTTTTGCAACTTTCAGTATTGGGTTCTTCAGATTGAAGATATTAATATGTATTCGGTTGTTCATCATCAATAAATACCTAGCCAACTAATTCATTTATTGGATTAAAAAAGGCACTTCATACAAGTCATAAATTCAATATGTGAAGGATGAGAATTGAAAGATTGGCTTCCATAGAGAAGTGAAAAGGGTATTTCTTTTATTTCATTTTTTTTTCTTTTTTTTTGGGGGGGGGGAGGGGTGGATTGGCAGGGGAATGAGTATGAGAAAAATGTCTGTTGAACTATTGAACCTTTCTTGTACTTCTATATTTTGCAAATGCTATCATAATTTAATAATGGATATGGAACTTACAGGATTCATGTAGCCAACCCCATATAGTTAGGACAAGGCTCAGATGATGATGATATTTGTGCAAATACTGACATGGTAATATCATCATAAAGAAATTTTCTCAATCATGGAGTCTAAAGTTATTAACATGTTATTAATCATGGTAATATTTAGTTGAATCTATACCATCAAAGTATAATATGACTTTTCAATTATACATAAAGATCTTCTTAACATGTTATTAATTAGAGATGTTAGAAACTGTTAAGCATGTTCAGAGATCCAAATTAGTTCATCAAAATATACTAAAAATTAGAAATTATTAATGTGCTAGATAATTCAGCATACCGCATTCTGTGGTGTATATCTTCAGAATAAGATTGCTAATTGCTCGAGAGATTTCTATTTTGGCAACTTTGTAGTTTGCTCTACACATTATATTCTTGACTTGAGTTAAATGCTTCTTGGTCTCTGTAATATGCAAAAATTGAATGGCACAAAAATGTTCTATAGACTTGAGTATTGGGTTTGTTGGTGAAAAATCTACTGAGAACTAGCTTCAAGTTCTCAAGGGATTCATCTGAACCAGAGAGCACCTGCTTATATATATATATATATAAAATTTTTCGCCTCTTAGTTGCCACATCCTTTTTTTCTATCGGTTAAGTTTGTCTCAGGAACTCCGGCTGTATTAGAACGAGTTCACATTTCATTTTGTAATCTTAGATGCTTGAGGCTGACAACAATGTGTAGCACTGCATCTTTACGTTTACGAACATACTTGCTCGAAAATTCTCCTATTATAGAAGCCCTTGTGATGGAACTAATGGAATTATTTCCTCTACACTTTTGTCTCAGGCTTATTGCTTATTTTATCCATTAATTCACATTTGAGCTATGTCAACTTATGGTCTTTTATATAATTTGACTTTCATTCAGCGAAGTTGCCCATTAGATATAAGGAGCTACATTATGGTAATCTCTGGCATCTGGTACTTTATATATTAGGTTTGATCTTTATTAGGTTAATTAATAGAAGTTCTATTGGGGTACATTGTTTAACTAACATGTTTTGCTTGTTGTATAGGAATCATTTTATTCCAAAAGCGATACAGGAAAACCGGAACCAGAGTTCACATCGTGTCATCTCAAGTCTGTTGAGATCTCAAATTTTCTAGGATGTGAGAATGAACTCCGGTTTTTGAGGTTTTTGTTGAAGAATGCAATGAAGTTGGAAAAAATCATAATCACTTCTTCAAATCTGGCAACTGTTAAACGGAAAAGGAAATGGAGGACTATAAAATCATTTCTGCGTGACTCTCCTAGTATTATGGCTGTCGTCACCTAAATCTTCCATGTACCTATGGAGCTTTTTATGTCTTTGGTCATGGGATTCTTCTGCAACCTTCATGTCTTCAACCTGTTATAGATGTGAGTGTTTTAGTTGTAGTACCTTCAATATGTTATCTGATGATCACCATAAATCTCTGACATACATAGCACTAAAAAAAATGCTGTGGCAAGTTCTCACTTGGTAAAGGGATGGATGAGGCAGAGAGTTTCTGAAATAATCATGTTTTTAGCTTTAATTCAAGAGCTTTAACATTCAACAGATAATGTTTTCTGATAATGCGACTATAATGAGGATTCTTTTTTTCTTCCACTTTGACCCAATGAATTAAAAATTGTTATATTTTGAATGTATGAATCTAATAATAAACAATTTAGCATTTTCGAATTTCGATTGCAAAAAGCATTGCTAGAAATATATTTTGATCTAAGTTCCATTTAATTGGAGGGAGAATAAACGCTGCTATTTAATTTTCCAAATAGATTTGTTTTTGGTAGAAGTTTTCGAAATAGGTTGTAGTTCATCATTTATGAAAGTAGAAGATACCTGTTATCAGTGACATTTATTGGTAAAAATTTGCCAAACAGAAAGGATGGTTTGAGATACATTCTTCCTCTCTGACTGGAATTTTTAAGATATTTGTGCATAAAAAAAGTTGTCAAACTTGAAGGACAAATGGACAATATAGAAACTGACAAGTTTCTGTGTTGGATAGCTGTTGCTTTCTACTATTTGTGGTATGTTAGAATGATTTTGTTTTAATAGCAAACTAAAAGTGTTGTGGATACCGGATGGTGAATCCTACTAATCAAGTAATATATGAAAGGCAACAGTTTTTGGTTAGTAGGGACTCTTTTCAGGTTAGTACTGAACAAGGATAATAGAGCTACTTTTTGCCGCAATGATCAGAGATCACTTGGTTTATAATAAATCTGATGGAGCTGCTGATCAGAAAAAATGTGATGCAGGAATGAATGGGAGTTGTCAAGGATTTTGTGGTTTTGTTGTCAACTCCAAAAAAAAAAAAAAATTATTATGGTTTTGTTGGCTATTTTAACGAAAATTTTCTGGTTTCTGCAGGGGCTTTTTTGGGAGGTGTTGAGATAGTACAGAAACTGAATTAAGGGCAATATATAAAGTTAAATGTGTTTTGCTATGGATGGAAGAATATTCATTTAAATTCAGATTCTCTTTTGTCTATCATGGTCCTGCTGGTCTATTTTGCGCTGTATATGGCAAATTAAAAAGTCTTCTGATAATGTTGTCTTTTAAGGCTATGTTTTGGAGTGTTTAGGTAAAAATAAGTGTTTATTTGAATAAGCATTTATTTGCATTTGGCACCCTAACTTTTTCAAGTTCACTTATTTTAAATTGGACGTTTGATAGTCTTAGAGAAAAATGAACGTTTGGTAGTTTTTTTTTTTTTAAATAAGCACTTAAATAAATGTTTGTCCTTCATTTTTTTTTCAATTTTTCAAAATATATCCTTTTGAAACCACTTTTATTAAATTACTTTTATAAAATTATTTTATGAAAGTATTTTTATGAAAGCAATTTTATAAAAGTACTTTTATGAAAATATTTTTATAAAAGTATTTTTATGAAAGTAGTTTTAAGACTTGCGAAAGCACTTTTATGAAAATGTATTTTCGTAAAAATGATTTTATAAAAGTGTTTTTAAAAAATTACTTTATTGAAAGTGTTTTTGTAAAAGTATTTTTGTAAGTGTTTTTATAAAAATAATAAAAGTCAATTAGGAATAATTTTGTAAGTGGTATTTTAAAATTCAATTAGGAATAATTTTGTAATAAAAAACTTGAACAAGTGCTTAAAAAAAGTTGGAAATTTGCATTTAAAAAATAAGCATTTATTTTGGGTTTATTTCCTAAATACTAATAAGTGATTAATGGCCAAGATAAGTGCTTATTTTGAATTAGCATTTATTTTTAAACACTTCCAAATATGGCCTAAGTATATTTTTAGGAGAATTAGTAGGGCAGTTCGTACTAGAGATTGGGGTTTGGAGTTACATCCAGACTGGTTGCTTTCTTATGTAAATTCTTCTATTTTAGTTTTTTTTTTTAATCATAAAAAAACTTTTGTATCATTGTTGTTTCTACCTACAACGTATGGGTAGGTAGAAATAAATCTGGTTTTGGATTGGTTTTAATCTAATTCAAATTTTATCAAATTGGATCTGGATGGATCATTATAATTATTGGATTAGGCCAATTCAAAATAAATTGGTCCATATTCTTATTGGTTTAAATTGGATTTAAGTCAAATTTTCAATAATTTGTTTGGGGCCAAATCTTTGTCTTGAAGTCGGCATAAAATCAAGTATTTTTATAAAAACGCTTTACAAAAGTATTTTTATAAAAATAATTTTATGAAAAGTATTTTTATGAAATAATTTTTATGAAAGCATTTTTAGAAAAGTATTTTTATGAAAGCACTTTTACAGAAGTCGTTTTATAAAAGTATTTTTATGAAATTACTTTTATAAAAGTATTTTTACACTAGCATTTTTATGAAACCACTTTTACAAAAGAATTTTTATGAAAATACTTTTATAAAAGCACTTTTATAGAAGTATTTTTACAAAAGCATTTTTTTGGAAGTACGTTTATAAAAGCATTTTTATAAATCACTTTTGTGAGATTTTATGAAAACACTTTTACAAAAACACTTTAATGAAAATACTTTTATAAAAACATTTTTATAAAAGTACTTTTATAAAAGTATTTTTGTGAAAGCATTTTCACAAACGCACTTCTATGAAAGTACTTTTATAAAAGCACTTTTATTAAAGTAGTTTTACAAAAGCGTTTACAAAAGTACTTTGATAAAAGTATTTTTACAAAAGTACTTATACGGAAGTATTTTTACACAAGTATTTTTACAAAAGTACTTTTATAAAAGTGCTTTTAATAAAGTATTTTTACGAAATCACTTTTATAAAATGTTTTCATAAAAGTGCTTTTATAAAAGCATTTTTATAAAAGTGTTTTTTCAATGCCAAAAGTGTATATTTTTGTAATTTTCATATTTTCTTCATTTTAATATATTTTTGTAATTTTTTGTATGTTCTATTTTTTATATTTCATTTGGTTTGGATTCGATCCAATCCACTCCATTTACATTTTAATGGATTGGATTGGATTTGGTTTGTCTTGGATTTGAATTGATTTTGGCCCAGTCCATTTGTAAGTGGACTCACATCGGACTGGATCGGGTTGGACCAAATCCAGTCGAATTGATACCTCTATTTATAGGTTGGTCAATACAAAATTGTGAGAAGATTTTCTTTTTTCATCAGATTTTTTTTGAGTTGATCAATCTAAATTGCTATTTCTACGTGTCAATAAGCGCCAATGATCTTTCAGTTGAAGTTAGAGACATTTATGAAAGAATTGTATTGATCAACCCCATACACTTGGGTTGAAGAAAAATGAAAGAAAACCTATACCTGCAAATAAGTCGGATGGGATTCCATTCGATCCGGTAAGAGTTATTTGGATATACTTCGACCTGATCCGATTCGTTACTTTTAAAATATTATATATTATAATTATATATTATATATAGGAAAATCTATGATATGGAAATAAATGATCAAGTTTGGTCATTTGACAAAATCAATGCTTTTAAAATAATGAGTGGGACAAGAAAATGCTCCTTTAAATTTGAGATGATCGAAGTTATTGTTCAATGTCTTCCTCCTCCCGACACTCAGACGTAGAACTCGGTAGGATAAGTCTTCCTTCGATCTCTTCTCCTATTCTCTCTCCCTCTCTCTTCCTCTGCTCGCCGCTATAACTCAAGCCAATAGTGGTGGTTCGGCCTGTCACCACTTTTCTGGAATCCTACTTGTCCCACAATGGTCGCACTAGTTTCTTTCATATGCCAGTTGAGCGACGTTGTTAGTAGTAGTGGATAGTTTCTCCGCACCACTGGTTGATAAGTCTTGAGAACGAGCTACGCTTGAAGCATCGCTTCTTCCTATTGCGTCATTGATCATATTGTGGATTGACATCTACTTGAAGACAAATAACAAATTGAAACAGATTGTGGTATCCCTTGTAGCAGCAAACGAACCCAGGCCAAAATAGGGCCAAGTAAGCTCTGTTATTGTTCCATGCATTTCAGTTTCCTTTTTTTATTTTCATTTTCGTGTTCTTTTGAGTCAAATCCCCTACATTTTGTCACAAAGCGGTCATGATCTGAGGGAAAATTGCTAGAATTGGTGATGAGGCATCTACTAAACCAACTTCTAGTAAATGGTTTGATGACGTTGTCGAGAAGAAGAATGAGAGGAAGGAGAAGAAAGAAAAAGAAAGAGGAAGATGAAGGAAGAGAAAAGAAGGGAAAGAAAAGAGAAGGTGAGAGAGAGAAAGAGAGATCGGATTAGAGAGAAGGTGGTCGTTGTTGTGCCCAGTTCGGTGTCGAAAGGTAGAAGAAGGTGAATAGTGTATTGGTGTAGAAGCATTGGATCACGCATCTTGAATCAACCCGTGAAGAAAAATGGAGAACACACAAAATGGCAAAGTAAACAAAAAATTCAAGTAAATAGAGATGAAGACACAAAAATTTACGTGGTTCGGAGAAAATCCTCTTACGTCCACAGGAAGAGCACACACTCCAGAGAGAGATTTTTCATTAAAATTGTAAGAACAAAAGATACAAGATAGCCATTCTTTTTATAACTAGCTTTGTGGTTACCATGCACTAATAGCCACTTTCTGTAACTAACTTTATTTTTGAGTCAATTCCAACATTCTCCACCTTGACTAAAAAAAAAAATCTTCAGCTCTCTTCTTCACTCTGTTCCATTTTTCTATCTAGAATACCCCCTCTTCCTGGGGCCTTCACAACTTAGCACTGTTGTATGTTTAAAAGATCCAGGCAATGCTTGAACCTCTCCCTTGGCAATGGCTTGGTCATCATATCTCCTATGTTCATTTGGGAAGAAATCTTCTCCAACTGAATGTCACCAT